GTAACTTCCGTCACTCGACATCGACACCATGGCTGTTTTTCCACTTCAGGGATAAAAGAGGCCTGTGTCTTCAATTCTGTTTGACTATGTTTAAAAAATAGAAAAGAGTAAATTAACAATTGGCCGTCTAAAAGTAAAAAGAGTGTGACCAATCTTCCAAAAGTTAATGCATTTAACTCGGCCAGAGCCTTAAAGGAAGGGGAACCATTCCACTTGAGATGCTGCACAGTCCTATTAAAGGATCAATACTTGCACTTATTAAACTGCTATAAAAAAGTAAATTTGCCCATTTCCCCCGTCCAAGAGACTGTTTCTATTTCATTTGCAGCAATCTACTGTGAATAATTAAAAAAACGCCACAGATTTGTGATAAATGAAATCAGACAAGAAGACCATGAGATTTGTATGTGTGTGTATGTGTGATGCCAATGGTAAAAGCGATGATAAGGGAATGCTTAAAGACTCACTCATCGAACCCATCCCCCCATTCTTCGTCTAGCGCATCAACAAACGATGGTTCCAAGACGACATTTCCCACTAAAGACTCTCCAAGTGTCTTCTTCACTTCCGAACTTACTCCCCGTCCAGGATCCGCTTTTACAAAATCGCTAAAAACTTCATCCAAGGCGCGCATCTCCTGACTTTCCAGGGTTAGGGGTCGTCTCTCCTTCATCGGTTGCAGTGATGTTTCAGTACTATCCTCAAAGACGAAGCTTCTATCAGCAAAATTTTCAGCAGCATCGTCGACAACTCGTTTCATTTGACGAGGTTTTTTCTGTGAGGCTTGACTGACTGCCATTTGGACCATCATTTTGGCTCGCTGACTCGCAATTGTAGAAAAAGATGAGGAGGCTCCGAGATTTACTTGATGCATTGGGGCGTAGTTGAGACCATCATAATTACCCTCTCGAGAGAGGATATCAGTGCGACCTTCGGCAGCCCGTTTGGCCATAACGAGAATGTGGCGCTGAGTCACAAGACTGGAGCGACGCGGCTTTCGGTAGAGTTGAGTCGACGAGGAGGGTTGGAATTGCGTGGCAAAGGGAGGCTGTACAATGTCACCGGTGGAGGATTTGAAGGACTTTATGGGGAGAGGTGAGGCCTCAGGAGTGTCGAAAATTATCGAAACGTTGGGCTTAGGAGAGGCTGTAAGTAACCGAATCAGGTTTTTAGGTGTTCAGAATACCCAGCACATATAAATTGGCCTAACTGTGGCGTAGTACACCATT